ATTTGTGTGTGTTCAGTAATATAAACTCATTTTTAATGTGATATTTGTTTGTTTTTTTTACTTTTAAGACTTTCGTAAAAAGCTACACAAGGGCTATCTGCATATAGTCAGTTCTAATTTTGAACTGACATACTAAGGGGAAGGCAGCCAGTCAATAGTACCCATCACCAATTCTTGGGCTACCCTTGTCTTACTAAATGGGATTTGAACATCGCTGTTATAGTTCACCCAAGACTTCAAAGTGTGTAGCACATTTTTGCAGCAATGAGATATAAACCATGAACCCGTGGATTCACAGTCTGAGAAGCTAGTCACTAAGGCATGCCAAACCCAGCACTTTATAATAAGTAAGGTATAATCACAGATTATGGACAGTAAAATTCCACACTGTAATAATTTTAACAATTACTTTCATTTATTAAAAATTGTTTAAGGTAATACTGATCAACTACTGTGTATTGATCACCAATAGTTTTTACCTACCATTACTTTAAGTCCTTACTGTATACATGTTTATAGAAAGATTTAAACTGTTGATGAACTTCCATTCAACTTTGGTTTTAGTTTCTTGATGGCTAAGATTTATTTGATCCTTACATCTTCCAAGTTGTTGGAACTACGCATTATTTCCTAGCTCTTTTATTTTCCTTTTATGCCAGTCTCCCATTTATGGGTAAAAGACAGTTATGTTTTCATAAATAAAATCAAAGATATTTTAAAATCAAACTATCCTCAAATTTCAGTGTGTGTGTAGCTTTAAAATCGCATTGAATATAAATTAATTTTTCAAGATAAGGGACAGAATTAATAAACTTCATCATTGCTACATTGTTTATTGATATGTTTGTTCTTAGTGTGGAAGGGATTTTTGTGGGATGAACCATCTTTCATTTAAAGCAATGAATAAAAGAGTATCTTAAGTTTAAATCTGGTGATTCTTCAAACATCTGTAGACACCTAGGACAAGAATGTGACAGGACTGCAGACTGAAAGAGCTTTAAAATAATATGTAGTTCTACAATAAACAAGATGCAATGATCAAAGAAACTGAAACTAAAGTTAATTACTACATATAATTAGTACAAACTATATAACAGTTTCATATATAAAAACATTATTTAAGTTACATTACTGTTTGCTTTTTACTTGAGCTGTCATATTTACCATTGTTGTTTCTTCTTTTTCTAAGTCTTATTATTATTACTACTGAACTTTCTTGATTCTTATCACCTATACTATTGGTAAGTTACTTAAAGTCAAATTATTTGTGTTAGATGCACCTCACAGTATGTTTAGTATATTATTTTTATTTCTATTACATTTAATATGGTTATATTTTGATTAGATAACCAATATTCTAGCTATTTATTGTATGATTCAGTTATTTATTTATTATTTTGTATTTCTCATAAACAGTAACACATTTGGCAGTAAGTTATTTTAGATGTCAGCCAACTCTAAAATTTCACCATTGTAGCCATCTTATGGGCTTTTACTGGTCACAAGAAATTGTTAAGGAGGATTGTGTAAAGTTTTGCTTATATGTGGTTATACTGATGTTAATTTTTCAATGAACATTAAATCTATAACACTGCTTAAAGCTAACAACTAATGTTATGTGTTCCATAAGTAAAGTATACAGTATTCTTTCTTTAGTACTACTTTTATTAACAATATTGGTTAGAATGTTTATTATTATTCTATTATAGAAATTATTTTGCTTTTTTTTTTTAGATCAGTACATGGATTTAGGACTAACCTAAATCTCCTAAGCTGGTTAAACCTTGTGAGATATTATAGGGCTTATGGCTTAAAATATTGTTAACAGTAAGAATACCCAACTGATGAAACAATATAATCTAATATTTATAAGTAAGAATCTAAGAACAGTATATTTAACCCTTTTGTAACAATTCATGTATTTTCCATGACCTCGTAACCACCATGTAATCATGAAAGTATACAAACTATAATTTTGAAAAATATTTAATGTTGTTTCATAAAATTTGACAAGCTTTCAGTAAATATTACAAGTCTTTTGTAGACAAAAAACCAGAATTTTATTAAGTAAATATATGGAGTCAGAGTGTTGACTGCTCTAAGTGCAAAATGATTTTCATGTTAAGATTATAAATACTTTTGTTCAACTGAAAATTTTACTTTCCTTTACATAATCTCTAGAACCTCCTAAATAAATATCAAATGCCTTTTTTTCAGATAAAATTTACACTTTATCTGTTATGTTCTCTACCATAACTCTATAAAGGGTCAGTTGTTTGACAGACCTCATAACCACCACATAAAAGAAACAAATAAATCTAAGTTACCTCCTTTTTTCATTCAAACTGTAACCACAACTGTTTATCCTAAATAATAATCCTGCCACACAAGTTGTGAATCACTCGGCGAATGTGCAGCTCATGTTACTGTACTGAATTACATAAATGCGCAAGCTACTTCTGAAAACATTTTTATTATTATAATTTTTTTTCATTACCTTACCTAATTTAACCTTCTCTAACCTAATAAGCTCCTAATTTTTACATTTTAGATGCAGTTATAAAAATGAATAAAGAATACACATGAAAAACAAGAAATACAGTACTTACCTGAGTCTTCTTTCTTTTTGCTGTCAACTGCCAATGAAATTTAAGCCTACTTTTTATACAAATAATACTACTAATAAATAATTTTTTACTTAATTAACTCTCTCACTATGGGTTTGGACTGATCTTGTAAATGTTTTGTGCTTGTTAGAGTTTTCATGCTATAACTTGTAATACAGTACACATATCTTCACAAAATTTTGCAGATTAGCAGTAAACATTACAAGGCTTTCATACTCAAAATATCAGAAAATTTTATTAAGTTTTAAGATTTTTTATGTAATGATTTGCTTGTGCATTTTTTCTCTTTGAATGTTGACTACCAAACATGCAAAGTAATTTTGATTTTAAGATTAAAATACTTTTATGCATCAGAAAATTGTCAAATTTCACATGTGAAATCTCTATAACCTCTTTAAGAAAAAGCTTTATATTTTACCTGTTATTTTCACTATTATATCTCCGTATGAAGTTGGTTGATTTGACCTTCCTTGTAACAACCACACAAAATTAGGAAATATATAAATTTTCTTTGTTCTAGAATGACTACAAATAATAACATAAAACCACAAATGTTTAGTCTATATAGCTTAAATGTCATAATGTTGAACTTTTGATTGGTTATAAACACATGATAGATCAAAGCAGGAATTATTTCCACAAATGGAAGAGATGAGTAGGGCCACTGTTTGATTCGCTAAATATAGGAGGTTCTTATATTATAGCTTGTAAATATTGGTAACTTGAATTCCTATTCATAAGAAACTACAAACTTGCAAAAAAACAAACAATGTCATTTAACTATCTGGCTTTCTAATTATGCAATAAAAGCCTTTAAAAATTCAGCTAAGCTCATTGATGTGATTTACATAACAAAAAAATTTGAAACTGAATGATGAAATGGATAATGCCCTGTACAGAAGAAAATGAAATATAACATGTCATTTGATAGATTATAACTTTGGTTTTCTATTGGTTATAAATAATATAGTATAAAACATCAGAGAAGATTATTGACAACTTGTGAAAGAGAGGATGTGACAGGTAGCTGTGGCAAGTGGGTCTGATTTTCTAGTTTATGGCTCTATAAACAAATAATATAGAAGGCTATAAAAAGTATGCTTTGCTTTTGTAATGTCTATATTATAATAAGTAATTCATGTTAAATTTTGTACTTCTCAAAGGGGTGTTAAATAAATTAGAAAAGAGAGAAGATCTAGAGATAAAATGTCACAATTCTTTTACTGGGGAAGATTAAAGATTTTTTAAACGTCTCCTTATAAAATCAAATACTTAAACTTATGTAACATTAAATTTTGATTTATTAACTATTTTTTGATGCCAAGTTTATTTGTATACATTGATAATAAACTTAATTAAACTTTGAACTGTAACTCTGTAAACAGTTGTGACATGTGCACTTTGACCTACCTGATGCAAAAGGGTTAATTAGTTAATGTCATTATTGGGTTGATTTTTATTTATCAAAAAGGTAGTTTGCTCTGACCAGAAGTTAATATAAATTTAACTAACAAAAGTAATATACTTGTCTTGAAATTTCAATTCTTATATATTAACTCTTCCTGGTAGAATTTTCTTTATCTGGATAAACAATGTTTCCTGACTATTACATGAAGTATGAAAACAGCCTGGGAAACTGTCCTTGACTTACAATGATGTAAAAAATATATAAAGAATCTTTACACCAGACAAAACTTGTGCTACTTCAGTGTTCTTTTTTTTTACTTCTCATACCAATAGAAACATAAAAAAATAATTTAATTCCATGGTTGAACAGAAAGCTTCAGGACTTATAATACTAGAATTCAGAATTTGGTCCCCACCACAGATAAGTCAATGCGTAGCTTTGTGATAAAATAAATAAACAAATTATAAAATGCAAGTTTATATAAGAAATATATAATATTTTGACATCCAAGATATACTGAATAACATGAAGCACAATTTACTCTTTAGTTTAGTCAACTAATACTATATAGTTTTAAAAACGACACAAATCTTTTCTTTAAGTTATTGTTGTTTAAGGAAACTGATCTGATTTATAGCAAAATATAATTTTTGAATACAAAAAATATGAATAAAGCTAATATACATTTAAGAAAGACAGACAAATTTACCAATAATAGAGACTTACTGAGTGTCTTGGTGAGATCTTATGAACTGGAAATTCACATAAGGAAGTAATAGCCTCATCTGTACTGTAATCAGAGAAAAGAAAAGACACAACATTAAAGTACAATGTTTTTAACACAGAGCACTTATAGAAATAGCAGCTTAACCTTTACTACATGAATGATAAAAGTACTGCTGTGTTTCTCTACTGAGATTAGACAAAGAGAGAAAATAAATTTCCAAAAATACAGCATTAGGCAAACATGCACCTTCAAAATGGCATAAATTTAATTTGGCTATGAAGCTGTCAAAATTTTGAACACCATTCTGCATTGAGTATCACCCTCGATTTTTTCAAGGCTTTCCTGGAACAAGAAAGGAAGTCTGTTTCATGAAAATCTCATATTAGTATGATGGAATTAATACATGGCACCTTGGAAAGTCAAGGGTGACTAATGGCCTTTGCATGTTCAAAATGCCAGTCTGAGAGAGCACCTGAAATATGCATATGTTCCTTGCCATGTTGGAAGATACTCTCACCAAAGGGATAAAATTACATATCATAAAATGCACCTAGTTTCAAGAAATGTTTTTGCAGAAACTATCTCCTATTCAGCCTTCTGTTTAATGGTTGGACAAACTACATACTAACAAATGTGGCACACTCTTTATACACACACAAACATGCACACCTGAGAGTAAGGTTGCATGTGATTTGTATACTCATTCTGGAAGCTTGTTCATTTACAGGAATAGGAATAAATGCCTATTGGGACTAGTAAACATTTTTTTCTTTTTTTTTTCAAACCTCTGTACATTATTTTTCATGAAAGATAAAAACAATAAAAACATATATATAATGATAGCTTTGAAGTTGCTCTCTCTTTATTTTTTCTTTCTTTTGGAAAAAATTAAACCCATCTGCAATATCCTTTCACACCATTTTACATCTACTTCATCTCAAGAATTTCTTATCTTAAGACCTTCAGTCAAATGATAAAAACTAAAAGTTAAAATTTTATACCAGAATTTCTTCTTTGGAGAATAAGTATTAAAATTCTAAAGCAATCATATGCACCCAATCTTCGTAAATATTATACTAGATGATAGGTGCAATCCTGTTACATTTTTATATACTTGTTATAGATCAACATTATCTGTAAGTACTTAAGATATCACAAAAAAATGGTAGTAAAATATTAGGTGCCCACTTAAACTTCTCAACACTGTAAGTTCTGTAGCAAGATTAATACAAGTTTTTAAATGAGAAATTCTATTCTAAAACACACTTACAGAGATTTTAATCTCTTTTAATCTCATACGTCATTGATATTTAATTGAAAACATTTCTTAAGCTGAAGGTTACAAAACAATAAAAACCTCTTACTTCAAATCTTTTTATCTACCTTTATAAAAATGTATTTGAAATGCATACGCTAAGAAAATAAATTATTCTTTATAAACTAATAAAAGAATTTATTTTCTTATCCAGCCAATAATTCTTTTACCTACTACAACGGTTTCTCAGATGGTTGCTGTTTTGTTTGCATTTCACCACAAGTAAAACTTTCACATCTTGAGAACTTTTTCATTTCAAACTTTTAGCTAAATGACTAACAAAACATAACTTTTAAGTTTGTGATGAGCCAAACAAAAATCATTTGGGCCACACTGTTGCATATAACACACACACATTTATTAAGTAGAAGGTAAAGCTTTTGGGGGATTTTTTTTAGTTAGAAAATTTAATTCAAGAAAGGAAAGTTAACATTTTCCTAAACTGAAAACGTATTTATGATAGATACTTACCTCTTCTCAAAAAAAGCTTTTTCAACTAGTACTGCTCTCGATTGGTGCACATGTTACTTTCAGTAACATGCAAATGATTGTGGAGCAACCCTCCACCAATAGGAGTGTGACACTACCCATATCATAAATAGCACCTTCTCTAATCATGCACATGTTAATGAGGTGTGAGAAGGAATTAAAAAACCCACCAGTGGAAAACCACGCCACTTCTGAGCCAGGTTTACTTTTTGCCCTTGAGTAATGAGTCACCAAAACGTAAAGGGTGGGAACTTGGAGGGGGTCCCAAATAAATACAGAAATAACGAGATCCTCTGATGTAGAGTGGCTAGGGCATGACAGACTGTAAATGTGAGTTCAACCTCAACCAACACTTGGCAACATCTGGAATTATACATCAGGTCCATGGTAGAAAAAGGGTCCTCAACCTTTTATCTCAAAAACAGGTACAGGCAGGGAAGAGGAGCCCCTGTACCAAGAATCTAGGTGTCTCAGCATCTGCGCACCTAAAACATCAGATCCACCGAGAACTGACATTGAGCAGATGGTAGGAAGGAGGAGAGCCCAGGTGAGAGTTCATCTCTGGTCCAACACCTGGCAGCATTGGGAATTTGGTCATACAGACCATGTTAGGAGGAAGGTACCAGCCAAACATGTGAGGACTATGTAGCTGGACTGTCTCCAACCTACACCCGATCCCCAGTAACCGACATCCGGAAAATAGTAGAAAGGAGGATGTCTCAGCTGGAGCAGCAAACTGCATTTTTTTATTTTATTTTATATATATATATATATATATATCTGGCAGAGTGCTACATCCAACACCTGGCAGCATCTGGAATTGTAGATAAGGTCTGCAGTAGGAAGGACATCACATCACTGAGACATGCAGAATGCCACTGCCCTACTCTCAAACTGAGTGGTATTGTACACACTCAGAAGGACAGGCCTCCATCGTAAGTGAACTGGTAAGTTGCAAGGACTCCCCTACTCCACTAGAAGGAGGAGAGAAATAATGCATGGGAGAGTCCGAAGGACCGCAGCACCAGAATCAATGCAATGAGTGACCGTAGTACCCTATATTGAAAAGCAGAGTGATCACATTGATAGAATGAATCATCCAACACCTGATGGCAGCATCTAAAATTGTACCTCAAGTCCACGGAAGAACAAGTATCAATTGCCACAGATCATCAGAGATGAGCAGCAATCCCGATCTGTTTTACTCATATTAGCCCACAAGTGTACAGTCCAGGACAAACATATTTATGAAGCAAAAGACTGTAAGGTACACCTATGAGCAATCTAGCAGAAGACCACATTTCAACGGTGGGCATAAAATGACCTTGTGATGTGTTATTTTCTCTTTTTTCTATATTTAATATCAATGCATAGAGAACATATTGGACAGAGTTAATCAACCAAGACCTGGCAGCATCTGGAATGGCACATCAGGTCCACTGTAGAAAGAATCTCAATGTCACAGTTATCTAGTATATTCACAAGTCATACAGTGCAGACTTAAGACTAAGTATACCTGGTCATGCAACACTCACCACAGAGTGAGATACAAATATGCATTAAAGGCCCCTGCAAAAAAAAAAATGAACAGAGTACTTACCAACACAGATAAACAGTTATAACACTGATAACGTCCCCCCAAGGGGAGATGGAAATGTGCAGCCAAGGACATTATAAGGTGATGGATCTGATGGGAAGAAAACATAAAAAGGTGACAATCATCAGAAGAAAGGGAAGTAAATGTAAGGCGAATTCAACCAAGAAGAGTGATTGGAAAAGGTCATAGGAGAGGTGAAGATTGTACAGAAGAAACAAACAGACTTGGTAATTAGGAAAGGGAGGAAAAAAAATCTCTCCAAATCCAAAACTAAAAGATCGCTAAAAACCTTGCTAGGACAGTCATCAGTGTGTTCTGATTGTTAGATGAAAGTAGTAAACTCCTGACAGACCAGAGCCATCACTTCATGGGCCAAGAATTGTGGTATAAAATTCCACTGCAGCAGTAAGAGTAGTCATAGTCATGACCACCCAAAATTGCGAGTGCATAACTCCCAAAATTGAGAGATGAGAGAAGATTTAGAGAGAGCACTAGTTACAATAGAGGTAGTGTCACACTCCTATTGATGGAGGGTTGCTGCATGATCATTTGCATGTTAGTACACAGTAATAAATGGGAGTAACAAGGCTGGTGGCAAGGGAAAATTTGCAGCAACAGAGGGCAGTACAAGTTGAGAAAGCCTTATGTGAGAGGAGGTAAGATATCGTATCGGAAGAATCCTTTTGCATTATATTTATTTTTTTTATAAAAAACAAAACAATATATTCAGTCCAAACCCTAATAGTTCCCAACACAGTAACAGTTTTCTGGCACACCAAAAGCATTAATCTAACTAGTTTGTCTAGAGTATGTGAAACCCATATTGAGATAGTTTCTCTATTCCTCAAAAAAAAAAATTAATATGTATTCTAAAACATTCTAGAATTTGATAATCTACTACTGATTATAACAAAAATAAATGCCCCATTCACCAATTAGAAGATTTTACTTTCAGCTCAAATTATATTATTCCCTCACCTCTCCTCCAATAAAAATAACTATGTTTTAAATCAAGACACATATCTTCAAAGTTTTGAATTACTTATTAAGAACTGGCATGAAATAGTAAGGTCAGATACATTACAAGACTTATTAAACTGTACATATGGATAATTAATTTGTTGCAAGATTTTAACTTCAAAACTATTAATTTATATCATTCTAACAAATACCTGTAGCTCCCAAATTTGCAATCATCTAAGCTGTCAAGATTGACTAATTCTTTGGTAATCTTTATGTTAATTCCAATGTAACACCAACCATGATCAACAATCTTCTTAAGAAGCTCTTCTCGCTTATCTGTGAAAAACGTATGCTGAAAAGAATAACAATTTTTTAATAAAAAATTAAATATATCTACATTTTATGTTTTTATACAATTATGTGAATAAAGTACATTTTCAAACTGTGACTCTTTAAAACACACTCACATTAAAATTGTGGATAGCAAACCCGGAACTATTATAATACTAAACGTTTTGTATAATTATTGTTGTGGCAAGTGTTTTACTGCACATCCATAACTCATATGCTTAAATAATTTAAACCAGTACTTGTGCAATATATACAAACAATTAAAAGGAATACAATGCTAAAATAATTATACAAAAAACAATATATTAAAAACAGAGACAAGCCCTAAAAAAACTCTACGTGCTTCAGTGTTCTTATGCCACAACCTCTGACTCCTGAAGATCGTGGCCTAAGAACACCAAAACATGTAGAATCTTTTTCAGGGCTGGTGCCTGTTTTTAGCTGCAGCATAGCAGTTCCAAGTTTGTTTTATTTTTTGTTTTTTAAAGTACAAATTTTTAGATTTAATTACAGTTTTAGACTCAGGAGCTCAAACCCTTTTTGAATGATGTATATGACCATGCCCAAGGTCTCATAGATTAGTTTACTCTAATCCTGCCTAAAAGAATTTCAATTTGAGGGTAGGCTGGTAGTGGTTCTGATGAGCAATAAAATGGAATCGGGTATACACACACCCCACACCTCGTATTGCTGGCACACAAAAATATAGCTAATAAAAAAAGAAAAACGTCTCATAGATTAATTTACTATAATCCTGCCAAAAAGAATTTCAAGTGCTGTGGCTATTGAGGATTACTATTTATTTATAAATATTTGCGTAATTAGTTTAGCATTGTATTCCTTTTAATTGCACATAATCTGATATGTTCACCTGACACAGTCCTAGCTGTTGTGTATGTAAAATGTAATCCTTGATATTGTTCACAACAAAAAATAAAAATCTTCATGCTCTGTTAAACAATTTATACATTTTACCTGATTAGTACAAAACACAAACAATTTCCTGATTGAGTATTAAAGAAATACTCAACTAGAATTTTCACCATGATTTGTTAATGTTGCTTCCTATGATTTTGATCACAGTTACACATATTTTGAGTTTGATAAAGACTAAAACATGCAAATTATATAAGCTACCCTAAATTTTGACTTAACTAATATCTTAACATTTCTCTCTATAAATTTTTTCTTCAAATTTGACTTTCTTGTATTTACTTAGTCATAAAATCAGTTTTATCACGAACAATTTTCTTTATTTACAGCTTTTAGGAATACACCAATGTACTTTTAATCAGGCACAAAAAAATACAAGTCTCAATGAGGCTAGAATGAGACTTGCTTTTAATTTAAAATGTAATATTGTGCTGGAACTAAAAAGAATGCTAAAAGATAGAGAAAAAGGCATACTGAAAAGAAAAAAAGTTTTCAAAGTACAGACTAAGATCACTCACAAAAAAGTTAATTCAGAGTACAGTCCAAAATCAATTAAAAGGATTTAACGAAACATGAAATAAACACATCAAAAAATGGTTCCTATAAAAACTGGATATTCTGTTAAAGTTACAGATATAGAAATCTTATTTTGAAAAGTCACTTCATACAAAATAATTGTAGATTAAGTATTAAAAAACAGGTTATAATAAATATCAAATTTCATTATTCCTAAGTCTCATAAAAAACAGTTTAATAAAAAAGTATGAACTGCATAGAAATGTTTTGGACTACCACTGGTCCAGCTACCTCCCACTGGATAAAAATAGTTTGGTGCAAAATTCAATCTTCCAATTAGAATATAAGCATTTTTCAGAAAGATCAATCCGAAATGTTACTGAAGAGAATTGCAAAACCATATTTCATCTCAACAGTCTAATCATAGCAAGAATTAATTTGACAATCCTTGATCAAATTTAAAAGAAAATATGATTTTGAATGCATTTTGTTTTTGAATACATTGATACTACTCATAACTTTAAAAATAAGAAATATATAGTGTTAAAATCTAATTTAGCAGAATTACTTCTTGTCTCAAATGCCTGAACAAAAACAAATATAAACAGACTACAATTTTAACAATAAATTTTAATGATGTGGCTCAAATAAATCAAAATAGCAGATCAATTTAAAGATCTATATTTTGTTAAAAATGTGCACAACTCCTTAGTAAAGTCTTCTTTAATTCCTTTATCACTCAAAACACAAAGGTTTTCAATAAATTATGGTTAAAGAACTTTATCCTGAGAAAAAACTAAATGACATATTGAGCAACCAAGTACACAACTGAAAAGAATGAGAAATATCTAATAATATACAGGTTCATCTTGAGAAAAAAATATATGAAGAAATCAAATACATCACTGAAAAGAAACAGAATAAATTGATACTAAAGATTTACATTTCTTTCCTAATTTTATGTAAGCATTTCTGCTTACCAACTCCATAAAGCTATCCTTAACGATTTAGTATAGGCTCCAAGTGACTTCTGTGAATATAATGTCAAAAAAAATCAATCCTTCAGTATTTTATAAACATAAAACACTTACATGAATGAAACTATGAAAATGGATCTCAAGAGTCACTAGCTCAACTTGAGAAGAGCTTATCAATACTAGCTGAACATAGTCACAATAGAATCAAAATGTCTACAAACCTTCCACCCCACAACTAAACTGTAGGGAATAAAATAGTATAAAGAGTAATAAACAGAAGAAATAACAAATTCATAATATAACCAACTTTCTGTCAAATTTAGTTTTTATGTCTCAAATTGACAGAATCTTAAGCCTTACCTTTATTTGTTTAAAGGCTTATCAAAAAGTCATTTTAACTAATATTTTAAGATCATCATAACAAAATTAGTTTTCAATAAATAATAAACTTACCATCCTACCAAAACCTCCATGTGTTACAACAAATCCACCAGAAACAGGAGCTAGTCCTTCTATATCCTTATAATCATATGAAGCTATTACTTTTGCTGTGCTTCTATCTAATTGGTTGAGAGAGCCCTGATTGACTTCTAGAACTACAGGAACTCTTTTGTCAGACCAGTGAAGTTTTGTACAGTTATATTTCTGAAAAGAAATTTAAACACAACTGAGTTTCATATAAACTTGTACATTAAATTCAAAAATTGCTCAAAAACAGCACAAAATATCTGTAACTGTTTTTCTAGTTCAGCTACTTTTACATGCTTTTATTTAAAGGGAATAGATACCTGAACTTATTTGCTACATAACTAAACATAACATCTAAAGGTCAACATGAGGCCTGTTGGTCCATTGATGGTGTTCCATCCACTTGAGAAAACAAATAAAACTCTAAATCAGCCCTGGTCATTTATCTGTCCTTTCCTTAAACTCCCTTAAATCTACTCCATCCACTACAAGTGAAGGCAACCCATTCCAATGGTCAACTGCCCTGTTAGAAAAGTAAAACTGTCTAAGCTGGAAATGACTCCTACCCCGCTGAAAGTTAACATTTTCCTAATCTCAATATGCATTTCCCGATATATACATACAAAGTTTAGCTATCTTTCTTGCACGTCTGCTTGAAAGATTTGCATGCCACTAGTCTAGAGGCAATTGTTATCTAATGATTTAATATGAATCAAGCTGCTGCATGATGACATCATCATTCAATGAAAGCCCTCCACCAGTAGGAGGGTAACACAACCTTCATGCACAATAACTTTCCCTATGCACTTACACTTGTGTTAACTTAATTCTTTGACAAGGCAAGACAAAATGTGCACTGGAAGTGGGAAGGATGGGTATGGAGGTGAGTATTTAATGGAAATACATTTTCAGATTAGGAAAATGTTAACTTCCAAGATGATAACTCACCTCTGCAGAGAGTTTAGCTAGAATCCCACACTTGATTGTTGGAGGGGCAGGTGCAAAGTCTACATAGATGAGCTCCTTTCAGAAAGCACCTAAACAGAAGCCCATGGAATGTGACACCCAATGGTAGGGGCTCCATAGAGGAACATCTGTGGGAGAGTGCATCTTGTCTTGAACAGGGTATACTCTTTGTCTGAAATGTAAGAGGGGAAGAGGCAAATGAGCTCCAAGTGTCAAATGGATGGGCAGAATGAGAACATGACCATCCAAACACTTACACATAAGAAGTCAGTGAGCAAGTATTTGTAGTGTGGTTGGGGTGCATTCAGACCCTTCCTTACGTGCTCACCTCCACTCTACTGAACAGACGTTACGAGACAGACTTCAACTGCAGGAGAAGGTTTCATATAGTGTGTGCTTGCCTCAATTCTACAGACCAGATTTGAGCTCCAGGAGGAGGATACTTTAGATATGCAGTTGTGTTTTGCATAGTGTGTGCTCATCTTGACTCTATTGAACAGACATTGGCTGTAAGAGGAAGGCACATAAGTTATATATTATGGTTTTCTAAAGTGTGTGTGCTCACCTCAATTCCACTGAACAGGCTCAGGGTGCAAGAGGAGGACACGATTGGTATGAGTTATGGTTTAGAGGGGTGTCCTGCACCACCACCCCACTTTTCACCATATTGTGCTAAGTCCAACTGGTGAGGATTCCCTATGGTCCATCACCCCAGTGGCTAGGAAGTGGTAAGTCTACCATGCTCCATTCAAAGAAGGAGGGGGAGAATTCATGTTTGAGAAACCTAAAGAAGTGCCCATATCCCCATCAAACCTTCAGCGTAAAAGGTATTTTACTGTGGACAGTACAATGAGTGACCATAAAACCCTATTTATAAAAGCCAGTAAGTGCAAGCCAAAGAAGTGAGCAAAACACTTCCCTAGTGCTGGCTTTTTCCATGATAATCTATGGAATAGATATTTTTTGGAGCAGACAACTGAATAAATATATACATATATATACAATGAGAATACCCTAAGTGGTCTTGCAGAACACCCTACCTCACATTGGGCACTGATAGAACCAGGTCTGATGGTATGAATACTTACCATTATCCTGGCTCGATGCATATTTTGGGTAAGTAGACTCTAGGAGACAACACCAGCCACTTTGGATCCCATGAAGTAAAAGGGGGCTCTGAAAGAGAAATAGTATGTATTCTTCTCAAATATGGAAGGGGGGGGGTGATTGAAGAATGGCAACCAGTGGAATTAGAAGACATCATAAGATTAAACAGCCAGAAGGAGTAGAAAAGTAGGCTAAAGTGTGGAGAATGATCCACATGCCCACCTTGAGGATGTTATCCTAGATCCAGCAAAGAAATGATGCATGAGAATGAGAAAAATGATGAATTAAACATGTAGAAATGTGAAATAGCCTGCAAACATCCATATCTCGAGGCAAACATACCAACTGGAGGAGTCAATGGACCCATCCAGTAAGAATAGAAGAAGAGAGGTCCTTGGAAAAAGGAGTCTCAGGGTATAGACAGACAAAGGCTGGGACCTCAAAGGGAGAGATTTGTGATAAGGCACATCAAAGAGCCCAAACAGGACACAGGAGCCAATTGAGGCCCAAACAATCAAATAGGTGAGAGACAGAAGGAAGGGATAGAGAAGAAGTATGGTTACCTTCCTGAGCAGTCAAAGTCTTAGAAAGGAAAGATCAGTCCGGGGAATGGAATATATAAATGCAGTAGAAAAGGGTATGAGAAGTATCCAAAATATAGACATCCAAACAACAGTAATTACAATCAAAAAGGAAGAAATAAGTTAGGATAGAAAGATAGTAAAGAAAGCAAGAAGTCAACAGTTCAAATGGGGCATGTGTGAGCTTGTGCAAAACCCCATTAAGGTCTCAGTCAGGCATGGGATTAGGGCAAAGAGGAAGGAGGACAACAAAGGAATGCAAATGAGTGGAGAGGACAGCAGAAGAAACACCTTATAATACCAGGAAACTCAAAATGCCATGGATAAGGCCTTCTGACAACTAGTAAAGACAGGGACCAACAAACCATGGACAAACTGCCAGGAAAAAAAAGCAGAAAGGTGATTCACCGTATGACCAGGAGGAAAATAGAGGCAGAAGGACCACTGACAAAAGACTTGTCACAGTCACTGACAGACATAGACAGTGGAAGGGCAACAAGAATGCCCCATAAATAGAAAGTCTGGCTCAATGTGAGGTGGATTTGGCAAATCCCACACATGAGGATGGAGGGAAGACATTCCTCAATGAAGAAAGTATACATGATGGAAAAGCAAGAGAGAGAGGGGATATTAAGAAGAGGAAGAGAGAATCCAAATGTTAAGTGAACTGAGGCTAAACTGGTCAAGGAGGTGCCAACAATAGGACTTAACAAGGAGAGTAGTGTGTAAAGAGGCGAGACCAGGCCTGACTGAGAAAACTGACAGCGAGGATCAAAGGATGAGGAACAGGTAACCAGAAGAGTTTGGAAGGGTGGCAAATGTGTCCTCGAGGAGTATGTACAGCCAAGAGCAAACCCTAAAAAAACCTGGAGGTATAAAGACCACTCCATTGATAAAAAGTGGACTGGCCAAGAGAGGCAGCTTGCCACCAAGATTTAAGCTTCCAACATATAACAGGCAATAAGACAAACCCAATATGAATGGGACCAAAAGTGTATATCTTATGTCCAAAAACAAAGGGTCCTGGAATAGGTGCCTCTCAGACAGTTGGTGGAAAAAATGATTGTGAAATTGACTGAGTGTAACATGACCAAGTTATCCACCAGAAGGGGCAAAAATGTGAACATACCTGACAAATAGTGACAAGTTCAAGCATGCTGACGTAGAGTGAACACTTGTTCAGCATCCAGACATCAGAAGTCCTACCTTTATCTAGAGATGTACCTCAATCAAAGAAGGAAGCATAAGTGAAGGGAGAGATCAGGTTCAAAAGGTAGTAAGAGAATGCTATAAGTAGTATGGGTGCAGTTCAGTCACTTTGACAATTCCTCAAGGAGAAGAGAGGGTCAAAAATGAGGACAAAGTAAGAAGGGAGAGAGCAGAAAAAGTGGAACAGGCCAAGTCAGTAAAGAGAAGAGAATGAATGACTACAGAAACCCATCTGAAGCATGAAGAAGTGCCTCAAATAGGATTTAGGAGAGGGAATACGTGAGGGTAGAGAGAAAAAGACAAATCATGAAAATGAGGAACCATAAAGTGACATAGAAGGTAAGAGGTCTGATCCCCAAGCTGGCAAATTATATATATCAAGGGACGAGAATCAAGAAAAGCAAAGGAAGAAAGTCTACAAGTTAAAACAAAAGAAGTCTCGAACGCGAGGGGGACAAGACATTTGGGTGAGAGAGGATACACTAGATAAAGGAAATAATATAAATCCTAATAACAAGCAAGGAGAAAAGACAAAGTAAACAGCAAGAATCATGGATTATGGATATAAAGAACACAGACAAAAGATAAGGAAAGGAATATACCCGAGAAGGAAATCCAGAAAGAGACTGGAAGGTTAAGGTCCTTTCTTGAATGGTAAGTTACTACCCAGAGCAAATCAGGTTAAAGTCGTAGTCCAGTAGATCATTCCTAACTGAGGAAAAAGAAAATTGGCTGACAGGACAAAAGGACAGAAGTAGGAGGCTCAGTGAGCATATGGTACTCCACGACACTTTGAACAATGGCTGCATCAACCCCAACAGTTAACGAGCCTCCAGAAGGCATAATCGATAAAACACCTGAATGTGAACAACATCACTTACACAGGTCTATAATAAGTTACTGTTATTTCAGATTTCACAATAAAAATTAAAGCTTTTGTAACAAAACCCAGAGAAAACAAAAATTAAAGTTTTGTTAATGATTCAAGTCTCAAAAAATTTAACTCGGATGAGAAATTTGAACATTTCTGTTTAATACAATGCTGAGAAGAATGAATTTACTATGAGTGCAAGTGCATGGGAAATTATTGTGCATGGAGGTTGTGTTGCCCTCCGATTGATGGAGGGCTTTTGTTGCATGATGACATCATCATGCACCAGCACAATTGATGTTACATCACATGAAATTAGGTGGGAGATACCTTAAGGTTAGTGGCATGCAATTCTCTCAGGCAGATGCATGAGAAAGATAGCTAAATTGTGTGCAGAAGTGAATTATTGTTACAGAATTTACTTTTGTGTCCACTGTCCTACCATTATCACTATTAAATATGAAAAAATTATTTATCAATACTATTAATATCCTTAATAATCTCAAATACCTCAATTAGATCCTCTTTAACTCTTCTTTTTTAAGTAGAAAATAATTTCAGAGACCTTAACCTATCCTCACACAATAATCTTACCATCCCAAATATCATCCTAGTAAGCTTCCTTTGAATCCCTTCCAACAATTCATTGGCCTTCCTAAGTGTAGGAACTCAATACTTAATACAATACTCCATTTATAACAACCATCTGCTTTCTTCCCTCCAGCCATTTTCCGATCCAACAAGCCAACTTATCCCCCCCAAGAGTTATTTTTTTAACAAAACTTTTATGTGGCACCTTGTTAAATTCTTTCTGAAAATCCAGATGCATTTAATCCACATTCATAGCCCCATCTACATAAGTGGTAACCTCTTCAAAAATGTCAAAAGTAAATGGTAAAACAAGATTTTTCCCAAGTGAAACCATGCTGCCAATTCAAAAAAAATTTTAAATTTTGTTAAATGAATTTGCATGGCATCTTTTATCATAATTTAAAACACTTTTTCCACCATTTATGTAACATCAATAGGCCTATAAATACTTGGAAAAATTTTATCACCTCCCTTAAAAAGAGAAAAGTATAAATTAATAACCCAGCCATCTCACAACATCAGATATGAGCCTTCCTTTATTATTCCCCAAACCAAAGACCTTACTCCCATCCTAGCATTTGCTTACCCTTAATGTTAATTTTACATTTTCAGCCAACCTTTCGCATATGCCCTTTTCATTTGCCTTATGTCCTGTTTGTAATCCCCTGAATCTCAAGTCACAGTAGTTAATTTAAATTTCTTAAATTTATAGTGCTGTTGTTTAATCATATACCTTATACTCTCTGTGAGCCAACCTAGTATTTTACTTGAAGCCACACTTTTTTTTCTATATTGAAATTTAATATTTACTTTTAAAAATTTTCCACCTTTGTTTGGTATCCCTAGTTCACAAAAAGATAACTCTTGTTACATCCCTTTTAAATTTGAAATCAAAATATCATTCCTGATCTAAAACATCAAATCTAATTGAGCAATGACTACTTGCACCAAGATGTTCCCCAATCTCCACCCTCTCAACCATTTCTAGAACAGAAGTTTACAAAAACTTTAAAATAGCATTGTTTGTAATAATTTCCCTAACTAATAGACTGATGGAATCCCCTTTAGCCATAAACACACTGTCCTTAGAAGACACAAGAGTTTATTTCTTCAAACTAAGTGGTTGAGCTTTTCACCAAATCTCTACATTTCTAGATCTTCACACTTAGAAAGTAACCAGATTAATACAAACACATATTCTTCACTGAGCAAATAGTACTTTTATTATGAGGTCAGATTACATAAACCACTCAAAAAATGTTCAATGGATAACAAAGACTTTTATACCATTCTAAATTTTTCACAGATACTCATTATGCCTTTTTCAACCACTAACATTTTTAATTTTTTTGGTCAAACCTGGAAATTTGTTTTTCGGGTATCAGTCACAGAAGTTATAGACTGACATAAAATGTGTTACGCATTAGAACATTTTAAGCATACTCTAATGTAACCCTCTGTTGATTACGCAGCAAAAATTCTAAAATTACAAGTACACTACAGTTCAAAGACTAAACTCGGCATTTCTAAACTTTTTTCTGAAGTCTCAAATGGAGAAGGGTGTTCACACTATTTTTAAAAATAATTACAAATTTACAGCAATTCACCTTTACAATAAAAGTTATGAGATAACACCTCATTTATAAATTAAATCATTAAACAAAGCAACAAAATTTTGCACAATTTTTTAAATTAACCACTACTTCAAGAAAACATGAAAGCTGTAGGTCATCAAGCAGATCAGTCAAATTAAAGTATTTGAGAGTGCTCAAAAGTCGAATTGATATTTACTTCTCAGGTACTATGATAAAAAAAAATTAATATGTGAAGAGACCTAAATACATTCGAGGTATAATGGAAAAGATCTACAATGAATACAGTAGGAAGTGAAAGCCAACTAGTTGATATAACAGCAGGGACAATGATAATAACAAAGAAATAAAAACCACACACACAGTACTGAGAGAAGGTTCATATATATTAAATCTTGCTCAATCATAGTAACTAAAAAATTTGACTCTAATATGTTAACTTTATTGAAACTTTAGTTCAAAGGTCTCTTTCCTGTATATAATACATTTAGCAACTATACTATATTATCTTTTCCTAAAAATTAACAACACAATATAAATAGCAATCACACATGACATGCAGATACAACAAAGAAAATTTTACATTTAATAACAATCTTGATATTTCAAAATATCATACTTCTAGTCAAACTAGGAAAAAAAGAAAAAGAGTTGAGGTTATATTACGTAGCAAGAATAAAGTTGTCAGATTACTCTAAAGAAAATTTATCTATAACAATTTCCAATACATACCAACTGTTTTTACAAAATTACATGAATGATTAACATTTACAAATCATAAAAACACTCCAATTTCATTTATTATTTATATATGAACTCTAAATTATTATATTTGAAAAAATGCACTTACATTTACACCTGAAGCTGCTTCCGCAAAACAATGTCGAAACCTCTGGAAAATAAACAATTCAGAGCTCATCATAAAACTAAAGCAAAGTGCTCTCTAATCGTTGACTACAAAGTACTTAAATACTGAAAAAAATGTGTAATAACAATGCTTAATTGAGTTTAATTTTCCTAACCTTTTCTACACAGCCATTTAACAGCAGATCATAGATTTCTGTGGATGTTAAAAGCAACTTTTTTTATTCAACAAACCTTGGTAAATAAAATATAAAGCGTAGAAGTGATTTTAATCTTGCTTCTATATTAGTTGTTACTGCACTTTATCTCTTCCAATGCATTTCAAAAAAAAGCTGTTCAAAATGCAGAAGGAAACTGAATATAATGTGAAATAATAAGAAAAAAAAAACATGTTTAACATCAAACACTAATAGCATCCACAGGCTAAAAATATTATTGCACTTGCTCTAGCCCTTGAAATTAATTAATTCAGATAGAAAAACAAGGTCTTTTAATTTATCAGCTTCAATGTAGAAGTTGTCAGTCAAAGTTAATCAGCAAAATGCACTATTATTATGAATTATGAATCCACAAAAAGTTGCATGATAGTACATTCAGAACACTTTGATTTGAATTACCAGTATCTCATTGAATTCTTCATCAATGCTATTTTTCAAATACATAATTTCATCAAAATAATCAATCTTCTTTCCACATAGTATCATTGAATTTTTGTGTATAACTTAAGTTAAAAACAAAAAATTATAACAAATGATTATATTTTTTGTTAGGTACTTTCTACCAGGAGTGTAAAAAGTACTAAAATATGTAACTCAAGTTCAAGTAAAATTACTTTGTCTTAAAGTTACTCAAGTACAAGTAAAAGTATCCATCCTGAAATTTACTTAAGTTAGAGTAAAAAGTATCTACTAAATAAGTACTCAAGTAACAAAAATAAAAAAGTACACTTATATGCAATTCTCTCAAACCCTATATGTATGTTATGGGGCCATGAAGTCTAGAAACAAAACCCTGTATGGAAAAGATTTACCAAACTACGCAAATTACCAGTGAATAGCAGTGATGTAAGATTTGTCATTCTTTTAGTTATCTAGAACACATTTGTTGTATATAATTGATTACTATGGTATTCACAATTACACTTAGGGTTTCAGGCAACTCATGAACTTATTAGAACAGTAATGCCAATAATGAATATTGTACAAACATTATCGTTTCAGAATAAACTATACAAGGAATTAAAAAAACAAATATATGAATTCAACCAACTATATTATGCAAAAAATTTCTTATTCAATTTGAGAAGCAACTGGTTTTGAAAGTTGCCACAGTCAAGCCTTGCATGCAGAGGGCTGAAAATCTGCCCAGACAACTGAAGAGATGCTCACAGGCAGCAGAAGCAGGTAGTGGCGTGTTCAAATGTATGGCTATATCAGGTTGGTTGGGGAAAGACTTGAAAATCTCCATGCCAGGTATGCCTCTAGGTTTCTTTTCTGAAGCTATTCTGTGGCCTTGCATTTTGACTGCATGCCACAAATTTGAGTTTTGAGAATAGTAACAAATTGTATAAAATGAAAAGCAGTGGATAAAAGTACAAGTAATTCTCTTAAAATTACTTAAGTTAAAGTAAAAGTATTTGAAAATATAAATACTTTTTAAAAAGTAGATACTAAAAAAAAAGTTACTCAAGTACTGTACTCAAGTAAAGTTACTTCTTTACATTTACACCCCTGCTGTTTGGGATTATGAGGAAACGATGGACCCTCTTCCATGAACAATATACTGAACCAATATTGATCACAAACAAGGAACACACTCAATCCAACCAGATAGCTAAGTATCAAATCCCAACCAGTATTATGAGTTGGCTCCTGTGTAGGCTGGTGCCTCTTCTACCGACATCTCGGAAAAAACCACCAGGGATCCCAGTAGGAAGGCCCCCAACTTCGCCCTCTTCTCCAAAAGTGGAGGAAATTCACTCTAACATTATGGAGGAAATGCCTCTGTCCACCACCTCAGTGATGGGAAACTGGGTATGGTAATGACTCCCTAGCTCCACTAGTAAAATCTGGGGTAATGCTTGTTGGGGAGCCCCGAGGATCAGTGCTACAGAAACAGTGTAATAGTCAACTGACCCTGAATTATTCATTACAATGATTGGCAGGGACAGGCAGGATCCCCTTATGCTTTACTCATGATAGTCCACGATTGGTGGGCTAGCATAGTACAGTAATACCACCCAGTCAACCTCTAGATGGTCTTATAGAACACCTCATTTCTACAGAGCCTGTTGGAACCTAGATAAAGTATATTGAATTTGTGTTTCCTAGTGCAGAATTGGTTTGAGAAAAGTGCATCTCCCTGGGCAACACTCACCACAGAGTGTGATCCTAAAAGGTAAAGCAACAAGCGGAGCAATGAAAATACTCATCCCTCTGTATAATCTAGCAGAATTAGTTAAGATAGCTACATGGGGTAGTCAAACATCCCTAGATGAAGATACTGCCAGATAATGCAAATAATGCGAGATAAAAGTATTGGGGGAGTTTCACATACCAGTCCACACAATGTCCTCCAGTGGGCAATTCAATTGGGCCACTAAGAACATAGAAATGTGATGAATTTGATGAGACGTGACTTGCAGAAGATTCGTCGCCTTCAAAAAGAGCCCCTGAATAAATGATATAGAACAAGTTTGTACCACCTCGTCAATGTGACCGGGGTAAATCCTGGGAAACGGAATGATTCCACTGAATAAACAATCATTGTCTAGCATCTCTAAAGGCATTAGTGTAGGCAACAAAACCTTCAAGACTCTCACTGGATATAACAAACGATCGAAATCTGACTGGACCCTCGATTAGGGGCAGAACTATAAACACCCTGTAGTACCCAATGAAAGTCAAGACACCAATGACAACAAGGATGAAAGTAGAATCCAACAATCAAACCAATGTGCATGCTAACAATGGTTTCAGCTCGTCATCAATGAAGGAGGTGATCTTGAGAGTCTTACAACAAAGTTTTGTTTAAGTAAACAACACAATGAAAGTTACTGTTGTAAGTACATAGACTTACCACTGTCCCATCAGGGAACAGTGGTCTATGCAGGTTAACTAGAAACTCTGCCTTAGAACCCCTAATTTCGAGAAGCAGATGCATTATTTGAGAGTCAAAATATGCTTCCACCTGGTGGTGGTAGGCTAAATCACATAGTTCCGACAATCGCAGCAGATGAGGCACAGCTGTCCCATCACATAACAGAGCAGAAAATTTCCCTGCATGAATCATAATATCCGTGGATGGAGAGAAAACTAAATATTCACTTGTAGATCTTACAGCCATCAAGTAAGGTACAGGCTCAAAAACAACTGGGAAAAGATGCAAAACATCATACTCTCGATGGATCAAGTGAAGAAAACAAATCAGAAGCAGCTTATCCAAAAGTGGCCTCCTTTTTTATTTATTTTAAAGACTGTTCTGATAACTGTCGTTTGGAACAACATTTTATCAGATAAGTTTGTGTTTGTTAAAGCAAAGCAACATTGGGCTATCTACTGTGTGCACTATAAGGAATCAAACCCTGGACTTCTAAACAAACTTACCACTGTCCCACAGGGGGACTGAGAAGCCAATGGAATAAAGAAAGCACAGGAAAAAG